TGCCTGCCTGGAGGCCGAGGGCTGAGATGACTTGTAGTCTGAGCCACGAGAAGCCCCTGCCTCAGCCTGGTCCATGCTGGCACTGCCCAGCCCCGCACGCAGAGCCTGAGACAAGACAGGCAGTGGCAGCAAGCGAGGAGCACGTGGGGACCAGGGGCAGGTGCAGGCTTGCAGGCGGTGCCAGCCGCGGCCCCTCCTGGCCCGTGACTCCGCCAGGGACCTTCAGCCTCTGGTGTCTCTTTTCCAAAGTTTCCAGCAGCCCCAAGAGCAGCTTGTCGGTGCCCCCGGGCCCACCCGTGTACGTGGACCTGGCCTACGTCCCCAACCACTGCAGCGGGAAGAACGCGGACCTGGAGTTCTTCAAGCGCGTCCGATCCTCGTACTACGTCGTGAGCGGGAACGACCCAGCCAACGGGGAGCCCAGCCGGGCCGTGCTGGATGCGCTGCTGGAGGGGAAGGCCCAGTGGGGCGAGAACCTGCAGGTGAGTCCCTACGAGGCCAGGCCGGGGGCGCCGCTCGCACCGTGGGGCTCCGGGGGCACGTGCCTCTCCCAGAGTTTGTCTAATGCAAGCAGCACGGGTCGGAGGGGCCTGGGGCTCCGCGCCACGCGGTCCTAGCAGCGGTACCAGCCCCTCGTCCTGTCACCAGCAGTGCAGGCCAAGGGCAGCGCAGGTGGCTGGTGACGTGGACAGCTCCCCTCCCTCCTGCTCCTGCACAGGTCTGTGAACACGGGTGCAGGCGGCAGCACATTCTGCCTTGCTGCCTCCCAGCCCAGCCCAACCCGGCCACTTCTGCTCGCGGATGGTGCTGCGCGTTGTTACTGGTACTGCAGCGCAGACGGGCCTCGCCTGGGCCAGGGCCTGGCTGCGCGGGGCACTACAATGGAGCAAAGGCCGCCCGGCAGCGTGCGGGGCTGAAAGAAGCAGCCTGGCTGGGGCTGGGGCTGGGGCCGGGGCCGGGGCCGGGGCCAGGGAGGAGGAGGGCAGTTGCGGCCGTGGGGCACTCGGGGTGTGCCAGGGCCTGCTGATGCCACCCGCTGGGTGCAGGGCCGTCAGTTGCCTCTTCTGTCCCTCCAGGTAACCCTGATCCCAACGCACGACACAGAGGTGACACGGGAGTGGTACCAGCAGACCCATGAGAAGCAGCAGGAGCTGAACATCATGGTGCTGGCCAGCAGCAGCACCGTGGTGATGCAGGACGAGTCCTTCCCCGCCTGCAAGATCGAGTTCTAGCTGCCCGGTCACGCCACGCTCATCCATCGCCCCGTCTCCATCGCCGCACTCAGACACCGCCTGCCGCCCAGCCCTGCCGGCGCCGTCCCTGCGTGGTCCTGTGGACCGGGAGAGCGGGCGCCTGCACAGCGTGGTGCTGGGGCTCTGCGCGAGGAGCACGGGCTCTGCCCAGCCTGGGCTGAGGTGCACCGTGCCGGGGCAGGAGGAGGCCGGGGCACCTTCCCCTCCTGGGTGGATTTTGCTGCCTGTACAGTCGCTGTAGAATAACGTGGCTGCCTTCATGCTGCAAGTGCTTTCCTCGCCTGCATCCTGGCCACCCCACCCTACGCCACCCTGCCCTGGCGTCACGGCACTGGCCTCTTCCCCCCAGCCTGGCCTGCCATGAGGCTGCAGCACGAGGGCGGCTGCGGGCTGAGAACTGTCCGATGCAGAACAGATGGAGTGAGGAGACGGTGATGGCCAGTGACGCCCTGCAGCTGCCAGCAAGGCCCAGGACAGCCTGATGCGTGGGAGCTCCGCCACCTCCCGGGGCATTGGGACACGAGCCCTGGGCCCCAGTGGGCTTGGCCTGGGCTCCGGACCCGCAGGCTCTACCCGAGCTGCTGCATGTGGCCGATTCCCTCCCTCCCTCCCTCCCTGCAGCTGCGGTGCTGCAGGACGCCCGAGCCGGCATTGGCACAAAGTGTATGCTGCTGCCCCGCTGTCCTGAGCTTGCGGCGCAGCGCGGCGCGGTGGGGCGGGTAGGGCTGGATGGTGCTGCCCCCCCGGCCTCCAGACGCACAAACCCCAGTCTCTGCAGTCGCAGGCCTCGCAGGGGTGGGAGATGAGCCGGGGCGTGGGCAGGCCACGCGTGGGGAGGCAGGCGGCTGCGTTTCCTGAAGGAAGGCTCTTGCTACCACCCGCCGGTCGTGGTCTCGCAGGGGCAGCAGAGCCCTGACCAGGCAGCAGCCCCCACCCCACCAGCCACAGGGTGTGAGGAGTGGGCGACAGCGACTCCCCCAGGACAGCCACCGTCGCCCTGCCCCGGCCGTTGGGAAACGCCGCCCAACCCCGCTGGGGTCAAGGGCAGGTGGAGTCAGGCTGCGCTGGGGCCAGGCGGCTGGCACTTGCCCCCCAGCTCATGCTCTCGCCATGGTGCCATGGGCCTACCACTGCCCTCCAAGGGGCAGGGCCACGCCACTCCCTCCAGGACCCGTGCCCCGCGCAGGGCGTGGGAGGATGAGGGGGGCCGAGCACTGGCAGGAGGGTGCCCACATGGCCCAGGACGGAGGTGGCAGAATATGGCTAAGGTGGTCTGCCGGGCTGCACCCCTGCTGCTGTCCCAGCCAGGCCCCCTTGCCTGCATCCTGCTGCCGTGGTGCCCGGCCCTGCTAGGTCGGAAGCGCATCTGGGATGGTTTATTTTGCTGCCTAAATTATGTATTTATTTTGGTTTTGGGCTGCTGCTGCAGTGCTGGCGCCGGTGCCCTCCGGCTGCAGCTCGCAGGGGCGTTGCCACGGCCGCCCAGATGCAGCCAGGTGATGGTGGCATGGCCACGGGGGCTGGGCCACGTATGTGCGGGCAGCCGGGGGCCATTGCACGCTGCCTGCAGGCCCAGAGCGGGGGGCGGGGGGCGGGGCCGTGGCTGGCAGCCTGGCGCCCCCAGGCAGCGCCACGTGCCGTTCTTTGTCAGCGCTCGCTCCAGAGCGCATTGGCCGGGAGGGCCTGCTTTCGTTCTCTATAAGCTGATTGGGTCAGTACATATGAATGTCAGTTATGGCAGGCAA